TCCCCCCAGAATGAGACTGCCAGTGCTTAGCAACCACAGAATCTCAGAAGGGTTTGGGTTGGAAGGGACCTTAAAGACCATTTAGTTCCAACCCCCCTGCCATGGGCAGGGACACCTTCCACTAGACCAGGTTGCTCAAAGCCACATCCAGCCTGGCCTTGAACACTTCCTACGGCATTGAAACACCCCGGAGTGTCTATTCAAGTGTATCCTTCGCCCATCTGGTTCCTGTCCCCAAGCACGCAAAAGCTCATTTTAACAAAACCTGGTCTGTTTCCAGAACAATCCTGTCAACTCTTCTTGCTGGAGACATGGGAGGAGAGGACTTTGAGGAAGTACTGAATAGAAGTGGTTGGACCCTTCTGGGTTAAAAGGGACTTGCAAGCCTGGCAAGAAAGCACAAGGCTGTGGGATAGGTGCTCAAAGGCAGATGCGGTCCCACAGAACCCACACCACACCAGTAGCCCAGAAACAGCTTATGATGAGCTCAAGAATCATCTGACCTGTCATGGCAGCGGAGGGGCAGAGGCTACACAACAACTTCTTTCTTTGGGAGGAGCAGACATCTGCATGGCACGAAAATAATACCACTAGGGAAAAAAAAAAAAAGGAGGATGAACCCGCTTGTCACTGGTCACAAAATCCAATAGCAGAGGCCCAAGGGTTCAGCCCCAGGGTGGCCTGAGGGACACCAGAGCCATGGGAGGAGCTGAGGACCGTGGGAGGAGCTGAAAAAGGAGCTGTCACATCACTTTTGGTCAGTGTTCAGGGAGGCACCGACTGGCTCCAGAAGTCATAGGGAAGTCTCTGCTGTGTCCTGCAAATAGGCCTTGCAAAGGGATAATGGGTCAGGTAGAAGGAGGTAGAGTTGGTGGGAAACAATACTCCTCAAAGACAACCTTCCTCAGAACTGGAGAAGAAACTTCCTTTGCGTTTGTAGGCAATTCACCTTGACTCGTGATGATTGCAAACCTCAGAGTAACTCAGGTTTGCTCACCTGCGAAAGCAACACGAGCTCTGCCCGCCCATCCATCCCAACACACGCCACCATGGCTGCCACCGGACCCACCGGAATGCCAGACCTCTCCCCTCACAGCCAGAGCACAGCTTCCTCATTTGGAGGTGTGAGTAGACAAACCTACCTAAGAAACCAACCGATTCCTCTTCCTGCATGGAGACGTTTTACCCCGGGATGCCAGATAAACATGGAGAGGACCGAACAACGGGATGGACGTGGGCAATGGCTCAAAAGAACAGTACAGCCTAAGGAAGGGTAAGAAAAGGGAAGACACAGAAGGGGGGTTGGAGCAGCAATGACAGCGAAACGGACACACAAGGGGAAAAGAGTGGTCAGCGTAAGCATTCCTTTATGTTACAAACTGTATCTAACCATGTCTCTAACAGCTGCAAGCGATGGTAGTTCACACACACAAGGGACCGTGGCTACCGATGCGGGAGCGAAGGGCGCGTGCATGGGAGGTCGGGTGGTGCGGGGACTAAGAGCTTGTTGATTTGTGACGGCACGGCTGGAAGCCTGCAAGCCCTGCTCAGTCCAGCACGCGCAGGTTCTCAGCCGCTCTGAACATCAACTTCCCCTCGTTTACGACCCAAGGACAGACAGACGCTTCGGGGACCTTGTGGTTCGGTTCCTACGGTCCCCTCCAAGTCTCTCCTACAGCTGAGTCACCTGGTTTCGAAGTGCTGTTTCCAGCTTCTCGTGGGGCTGTCTTCCTGTCCCACATCCTCCCCAGTCCCACCCTCCTCGCACGTGCACGCGCTGTCCCACAGCTCAGCCTGCTCTTCCTCCATGCTGTCCCACTCCTTGCCACTCTTCCCCTCTTTGTCTCTACCTCACTTCCTTCCATTTTGCCTCCCCGCTGCCTTAGCCCTTCCCAACTAACCCTTTACTGTCACACCCCGCACCTTCTGAAGTTCTGACGGGTTTCTTTTCCAAAATGGGAAGCGGCAAAGCAACCTACAACCAGAGAGCCTTCTGGTAAAAACCCTGCCACTTCATCTCCCCCGCCCCCCTTTCCTACCACCTTCCTTTTGTTTGTCTTGGCTACCCTTTTGCCTGCTCTTAAACTGCAAACTCTTTGAGGGCAGTGCCAGAATCCGGTCCATAGAATTCCATAAGGCACCTAATATGCTAAATATTATAAAAGGTCCTGTTTTATCTTTTTTTGGCTTTTGATTTTCAATAAACTCACTGAAATTCCAAGCAAGCGGGACTCTCAGTAGACAGACAAACGTGTCCCGTCAACAGGAAGTTTCTCTTGCATAACTCCTCTGGCAGTTCTGGAAACCTAAATGCGGTTGGGTTTATTTTCCTCACCGCAAATTAATAGTTGGGACAAAAGTGAGCCCATGCAAAAACACTCATTTCTGAGAAAGGAGATTCTCGAAAGGCAGATGATTTTTAGCACGCAGAGCTGCCCTCGTGAAACATCTGCCATGACGTAGTCCTGTTCTGGCCGCAGCCCAAGCGTATCGGTATCTCCGCGCAGAGTAATGGGATAAGCAATGGGAAAACTGCCACTGCTTGTTTAGCAGCTTGTTTTGCTGATAAATGTCTGTCACTTTTCAAACAGCTACAGCGTAATTGTTTTTTTGGGGGAGAATGTTTCCTTGAGCAGGAGGTTTGCAGGCCATTAGCTATTTCCCATCTGTGCTGGTGTTTTGATGCACCGCAAACACGCTCTGCTCCCTGTCAGAAGTCACACTCACAGCTTTTGATTACAGGCAGGCAGCCTTAAGTTCAGCACTCACGTCTGTCCTGAAAAAGTCTTCTCTGGCCTTATAGGAAATTTAAATTTGGAAATCATTAGAACCAATATGTATTTTTTGGAAAAAAAAAGAAAAAAACCCCAAACTGCAAAGACCGCTATAAAAAAGCAGACATCACCTCAGATGTCTGTAGTTTTAAAATAATGACTGACTGTGCAAAAGCAGGAGCTGTTTGACCACCGTGTGCCCATTCCACAGCGAGAGGCAGAACGTCACTCAGCCCAGCACCGCCACCAGCTGCAGCTCATCTCATCCCTCTGCAAACCGCGCCACCAACATTTTTTAACTCCACCTGATAGCCGCTAGGACAGACAAGAGACAGACCTCTGTTTAGTATCACCCGATACCTCTCGTGACTATCTGCTTTCGCTTCACACACACTCAACGTGCAATTACTTGCAGTAAATTTAGCAGTGCCAAATGACACGGAACTATACTCTCACCTGCATCAACTGAAATACTAGATGCATACGTTTCTGGGGAAAAGAACAGCCGAAAAAACTCCAAATCATTCCTTGTTAATAAATAACCTTCTCCTCTTTCCTCCTCTGCTTCTTCACATCAGGACAAAAAGCAGAGAGAAAACAAGGAGAGATGTAAAAATGTGGGTACTGTTGCAATTTATTCCAGCGACGACCTTCTTGTTGTCACCTGAATCCTTTATAGTTTTTTAATTCAAGAGGATCCCATGAAGTTTCTATCCTAACTAGTTTTTTCAGGCTTTACAGAATAAAGCTAGGGAGAAAAAGAAGAGAGATTGAGGATCAGAAAGTGCCCCTCAAATTATGAATATAGGAATGGAGCGAAATTTCCAAGTCAGGTCCTGCACAGTGGGAAACTCACACGTGAGTGCTGGGACTGACAGGCAGAAGGACCAACGTACAGGCAGCGACCGCTTTACACAATTTATTGTAAAAAACCAGTATTAAACAACAGGAAAAAAAGCCACTCCTTTTTCAACCCACCACATATTGCTTTATGTGGGAACAATGGAAAAAACGTGACAGAAATGTATTTACCCGTTCCTATCCACATATCAGATAATCCCAGCTACTCGGGACATGCTCATGGGAAAAATATTGGCAGTATCACAGCATATGGAAGTGGAAATAAAAAACATGCAGTATTTTCAATTGCAGTTGGGAGGCCTATTTCCTGGAGTCTAAAGATCATGTTGTTTTATCTGCTTTCCTTTAGCATAATGTACATTATCAGACTTTCATAACTTCAGACACCGGCAGAAAGCCCTGATTTTTTGCCAATAGTGACATACCCACCTCAAAGATAAATGTGGAAGTCAGAATGTCTGCCGTACTTCTGTTTGCAATTTCCTTTCCATAGGAACACGCACATGATATAGTTCCTTCTAACAGCTATTTACAGCTTGGCTAGCCCCATGGCACTTGTACCAGTTCAACCCCACTGGAGGTCCTCAGGGCAGCACAAACAACGGAGAACAGACTTCCAACGCCCCCGCAACCACACTCGTTTCAGACCAAAACTGCACGCCCTCACACCAAATTATTCGTGTTAAACATACTCGGTAGGTCTTCTGCTTTCAGCCACAAACCGAAAGGTGTCAGGGTCTGCATGAAACTGTTACAGAAAATGTAAACCAATACATCCCACAGCTGGGGGATTTCTTTGTGGATTCCCTAGCTCATGTCAAAACTGTGAAATACCAGTGTCAGCTAAAACAGAGCTGGGTTTAAATGGAGCCCCAAAATAAGGAGTGCGCAGTAGTGTTTACCCGGTGTAATTAGCTTCACTGTCAATTGGTGGAAAGTTGACTTAGCTTCAGTTTCATGCTCAAAAGCATTAATCAGAGAAAACTGAAGTTGCGTGGCACCTCTGAGACCACCTCCGCTGCAGGTCAAGGGATGAACGTAAACATACATAGGTGCATCAGTTTAGGTATGACATGAGCACAGAACCCAAATACTCAGAAAACAGGAGTCACCAGAAACGGATGGATAATGCTAAGTAACAGCACCTAATCTTTTTTTTTCCACTACTGTGCTTTCTGAAAACGGCTAACAGCAGCCACAACAGTTGGAGGTGACTCACGCAACTGACAGTCACTGGTGTAGAGCCCAGTGGATAGTCTGGTCATTCTGAAAGGAGAGACAATGGAGCAATACAGGAAATTCCACAGCAAGAGGATAAAGTCAAACATTTGTCCTCTTGTACATCATAAGAAATATTTTTGGTTACAAACGACCACCGCAAACAATCTTCTTGTAGATAAAACTAAAAACGTCTCTACCTAAAAATCTTTGAGGAGGGTCAGAACCCCACAAACCATAACTAAAAAGCTTTCTCTACATCCTCTGCCCCGAGTTGTGGCCGTCTCCTTATTTTAAGCAAGACCTTCCTCTTGGTCAATCAATTCTGTTTTGGTGGAGAACACATCAGCCAGCATGTGCTTTGGGATTTCAGATCCCCGTACTTTTAACGTGTAGCAGGCATTCTCTACTTTGGCCAGACTCTGTTTCAAGGTATACAGCTTCTTAGATACTTCATAAGGTCCGGTGTTGCCAATGAAAGTGAAACCATCATAAATTTGACGCAAGAACTGGCTCAGTTCAAACGGCGTGTCTATGTCACCGTTGCCAACGCTGCCGATGCACAGCCGCATCAGCTCCCCGGTTAGATCGGCCACTCCCAGCAGGTAATCGACGGGCGTTACCTTCAGGCTCCAAGTGTGTGGTGGTTTATCATGGGAATTGGAGGTCTGAGGACAGAACAGAACAAAGTCCAGTAGAGAGAAGTAAGAAAAAAGCAGTCGGTAATGGTTCACATGCGCGCTAACTTACCTAACCTAACTGGTAATTCAAAGCATTCTGGAAAATTAAATTGCATGGCACTTCCACACATCATTTCAGAAGCACTTCTCTCCTTCCAGCACACCAGAAGATGTGAAAGCATCATTTCCACTCAAGAGGCGATTTCCATTCTAGCACACAAGATAAACATACCCCGCTTCTACCATCTCTACCTGCAAACAGAATTATCACGTCTCTCTACCAACTTTTATTTGTAGTTGCTTTTTCTTTTCTTTTGTCTGACAGATCTCAGCCTAATAGGTTAAAATTTTCCCTAAATGGTCCGTCCAAAGCTACCACAGCAATCAAGAACTAAAGAGAGTCTGCATTATGAAAACAAGCCATATAATTATGTAATAGAATCTTGAATTTCAAAATACATTTCCTACAAGAAGCTGATAGGTATAGTTCTGAGATCCATTTTACATCAACTGGACTCATTAAAATAGCTTTAAAAACACCTCATGAAGAAAGCTCATCACAAAGTCACAGGTCTGCTCCTATATCCAAGTTTCCAATACTTTTTACTGCCAAAATATTGGTAACCTGGGAGACAATGCAGGTTTCTTTCTGTTCCCTCGTTCCCATAACGTGCTGCTCACCCCAAATTCACAATTCTGGTCAGAGGCGTGTGTGCAGGGGTCAACAAGTTCGCAGTTTGTTAAAACAAGCGTGTCACGATGGGTTTGCCTCTGGTAAGGACAAATGAACTTAAGCTAAAAACTTGCTTTCTTTGCAAATACCTTACCACGAAAACAAAGAAAGAATAAGAAGTGCAGAATCTCTTGGGCAGAAGCAGACTCGGGAATCGCCCTAAAGCAGCAGCGCTGGGCACTGTTGCGCGCCGCGCCTGCGTTTCTGGACGCTACTACGCTGTCGCCTTTGGGGCCCTGTCAACAACCAAACCAAACCCAGCTTACTGCGGTCCGTAGCTGCAGTTCGTCCCTATGCAACAAGTTCTATTTATTGCAGGGTGGAAGCAGGGGTAAGTCAAGAAAGAGCGGATACAGTAGTAGGACTAAGGTATGATGGGATACAAGCTTGTCCTCTGAGGGGGAGCACGAAGACCAACTCCAGGGAAGTTACAAACGGCCAAGCTGAGACATGTGCACAGTGTATTTTAACAGAAGCTGAATACAGTGCTTCCTGTGACTAGTTCAGTAAGATCTCGTTCATGGAGTTCATCCTGCCTTGGATTCTTCTGTCTTCCCCAACTTCTGCTACATCGCCAGACTCCGGTAGGACTTAGGGGCAGTCCTGGCCATTAAAGATCCCATCTTTACATTTTCTTGCTAGTATTTCACTATCCTGGATCTTCCCCCTATCAGAAGGAGTTCAGCTTGCTTTGAATAAAAAGGATGTGAAATTTATAATTTATAAACTTGTATCCCACAGATTTAGTTTACTACTTGCCAGAATTAAAAGCATGTTTTGAACAAGTGAGTCAAAGCCCATATGTATATCCAATGCCATTCCACTAACGGGCCTCATTTAATCAGATGCCAAAAATGTGACTAAGCCTCCTGGTTGCATTTCCATCCCAGAAAGACGTTTGTCACACAAGAAAAGAAAAACTTTTACCGTGTTTGTTGTTTCTTCTCTGTCTTCCGCTGTAAATATTAGTTGCTTGTTGATCTCTTCAACACTAATCAAAGATCGTGTTTTGATAAAGTACTGAAATGAGACTGCCTCAACATATTCTTGAAGTCCTGCAAAAACAGCAGAGGAATTAAACCAATGATTCAAACTTTCCAGCAATGATCAGTGTTCACAATTATTTAATTTTTTTTTTTGAAATCTAAGTGAGACAATTTTAAGGTTACTGCAAAAAGTCAAAAGTAAGATAATCCAGAAACAGCATCAAAACATGATTTAGCACAGCATGCTGCTGACGTACAAAAACACAGCAGATAAACAGTTTCAAGTTTTTACTCCAACTGCATTCTTCATTCAGAACCTTCTGTAATACCAGCATAAAGCATCGTGTTACTTTCGGAAACATACTGAACAGCAGCTCCCCATAATGTCCCTCAGAGGGCCGTACTGGGGCCAGTACTGTTTAATATCTTCATCAGTGACACAGACCATGGGATCGAGTGCACCCTCAGCACGTTTGCTGACAACACCAAGCTGAGTGGTGGAATTCACAAGCGTGAGGGATGGGATGCCATCCAGAGGGACCTGGACAAGCTCAGGAAGTGGGCCCGTGTGAACCTCATGAGGTTCGACAAGGCCAAGTGCAAGGTCCTGCACCTGGGTTGGAGCAACCCCAGGTATCAATAGAGGCTGGAGATGAAGGGATCAAGAGCAGCCCTGAGGAGAAGGACTTGGGGTACTGGTGGATGAAAAGCTGGACACAAGCCAGCAACAACAGTTCTGTCCAAAAGAACTTATACTCTAAAAACAAGGCATGCAAGGGCACAAAAGGAGTTGGTGTGACGTCAAGGAAATAAAAGATGGGATAACAGAGGTAGCTTTTACCAGATTTGTATGCCATATGCAGTGACCTGCCACAATTACCTCTTGCCATGTACTTAGCAGACGGTGATTTTCTGTAAGCATTACAGCAAAGGTGAGATCTAAAACAGCTTGAATGTTCAGACAGTGATTTCACAGGTTCTGTCAGCTTTTCCTTATGTGCAGAGAGCAGATTTAGGGAAAGCATGTGGGAAAAGTTCATAAGCAGAAAGCTGAAGTTGGCAGTGTTGGTAGAAAAAAAAGCAAAAACAAACCTGGAACAACCAGCAACAGCAGGACTAAGCTAAGAATAGTTTTGAGGACACAATCAACGCACGTGTATATCTGACCTATGCACAGAGAAAGCACCAAAGGAGGATGTTAAAGGAACAGGCTGTAACGTGACAGATGGCTCTAGGAGAGCTATTCTGAAGGGATGGTTTCACTTCAAGAGAAGCAAAGAGGTGACACTGCCGTACCACGCTGCAAGAAGGCCAGGATTAAGCAATAGTTTTGCCAGTGAGAAAAGTGAGAAAATGTGGGAGTACCCAAGGGTACCAGAAGCAGAATCCTGGTTCCATCAGAATAATCTTAAAATCCTCAGCTGACCTCTGCAGGGCCAGAACCTCAGCCTACAGAGATATGCAGGAAGCAGCAAATTTAGACTTCATCTGGATCAAAGAAAAAGTCTAAATCAAAAAGAAGAGAACACAGAAGAATAACATACGAGGGTGGAAATACCCCCGGAAAACTACAGGTAACCTCAAGAAAAGATTCAATTGTAGAGGGCTTTCCACATTACACTCACAAAAGTGTGACGAGTGACCTGCATTTTTCCTCTCAAATAGGTACTTGCAAGGCAAGGGGAGGCAATTCAGCCTGCACCCTTCATGCTTCTGTCCAGCAGCAGTGGGAGAATGAGAACAAACCTCCGGCAACCAAAGCTGCACCCAGCACTGCTGTCCACAATTCCCAACCCACACAGGGAGCTTCAAGGACAATTAAATACAATAATTTAATCAGCTGGATTCGGGTAAAGCATTCTGGGCACAAGCAACAGCAGAACACTAGATAAAAGCTACCCAGGATCTTGTAAGATAAATAACTTCAGAAGCTGCAGAGAAGTAGATTTCATCACCCCTTCCCTTCCTGAGTTACCCTCTGATGTAACACAGCCAGTAATGCATTACGAAATCTGGGCTTTTTCTGTGGATAAGCTGTAAGCTGCCAGATGCAGCAGCACTCAAGGTGACAGCATCTGTGAGAACCTCTCTCTGCTATCTGTGGGGAAGGCTGTCACATCTGAAGAATCAACCTGGTGTTTTCCCACGTTCTCAGAGAGATCAAACCGGCTCTCAAACCTTTCTCCATCAATCCTGACTTCCAGTTTCAGCTCACTCCACTTTACAGCTTCTCCACACATCTTTTGTCCTTTTCCAGGACAAGTGTTTGGCTCCTCCATTCATTCATTTGTATGTATTTTTTATATAGGCATACTTAAAGGTATGTGTGCGCACACATTTAACCTCCTCCCACCGTCCCACCCCAGCTGACTTGTTCCACTCTTCTCCTCACTCCTGTTAATGCCACACGGTGTGGTTTGTCATTTACTGTTCCCTTTCGCAATTAGGGACTCCTATCTCCCACTGTTTACAAGCAAGCTGTACAGAACCCCATTTAAAGTCGATACCATCGCAAACAGACTGGTAACAAAGACTGGTTACAGCTACTTTGCAAAAAAACATTTGTATTTGACCTTTTTTTTTTTTCTTTAAAAATTCCTTCTTCCCCAAGTAGCTACAACATGACACTTCAATGACCTGAGACCTTGAAATAAGGTGTTTCCATGTGCAGGTAGAAGGATGTTTAAACATGTTGTTTTAGCTTAATGGTAGGACATCCGTTATTTGCAGCAAACAATCCCCAAGGTGAAAAACCCCATCCCATTTCACTACACCATCCAACAATACCTTTCCCCTTATGCTCTCATTTTGGATTTATTCCAAAAGTGGCTTATTTACAGACTGAGCTGCCAGTAATGGAATAGTTTGTAAGACTGCCTTTCTATGTAACGGACAGAAAATTCCAAATAAAAGCACTGTAGTATTTCCACCAGCACTTCTCCGAAGATGTGACCTTACAGATGTAAGTTAACAAAATGCTTAAGTACTTTGATATTTTATTACATGTACTCTATATAAATACCTTGTACTAGTGACAAGGCATAGTGACCCAGTATAACAGCTTCCTTCAGGATTTTGAAAAATAATTTTCTATGTAAGAACCAGAAAGTTACATTGAGGTATCTTCTGAGCACATATTATCTATAAAGGAGAGATTTTGTTCATCAAAGTTTGTGCATTTTTTTTTTGCCAGCTCTATCAGCTGGTATTCCAGACACCTATCCTTAGCTACACAGGCAAGCCCTGAGACAGAACTGTTAATCAGTTTCTCTAAGAAACTTAGCAAGAAATCAGGTTTCTTAAAAAAAACCAACCAAAAAACAAACAAAAAAAAACCCCCCACCAGCAACCCACGTCATTCAAGCACTCAATCCAAGAATCAAATTAATGTGTAAGGGGTAGGAAAAGATAGTTCAGCTTAAAAAATGAGTAAAAAATAGAACTTCCTTAATTGCAGGAGTCAAGTTAGGGGAAACAAAATCTAATTCCACCTGAGACGAACCTGCATGCACGCGCGGAAGTTTTAACCCAGAATGACAGATCAAACCCAGAATGACAGATCAAACAAGAGGTGAAAGTATCTCCCTAAAATTTTGTTTGCTTCATGTCCTCCTTTAAGTATCTGTTCAAGAGTTTAAAAATGGGTTAAAATCATGCCACTCAGGCCTTACGGCTAGCAAAGCCAATGCTACCTGCCACCTTCCCGAATAAGCTTCTTCTCAAACTCATTTTCCTTCCATCCCTTCATCCTCTTTCTTTCCGCCTTCTCCGTATCTTTTTGGTCACAGAGCAGCCTGTCCTGATGGTTAGGGCACAAGCAGATGACAGTCTGTGTCCCCTTACCCAGCTCCAGCGGGATTCCTTCCTATGCAGCATGAATCACAGGCCAAGAGCAGCCACTAGAAAGATGGCAGGAAGACACATGGAGGAAGTTTCTTGCAGGATCACTCTGTGAAGGGTGGGGCACATAATTTGCAGGGCTAGTCATGTGAAACCAACCACTTGCCACTTCATTACAAGATCAAATCAGCACAGGCACACTCATCATCATGGTTAGGCTGGCAAGTTACGCTCACTAAAAACAAACACACAAACCCAAAAAAAGCCACCCAACCCAGGAAAAACAAACGAACAAACTTATATTCTTGTGGAAATCCCAAACAGAGTAAAACTGAAGCTAAACTGGAGAATCCTTGTTACTAAACTCTGCAGAACATGGGTAGGATGGTAGACGTAAAGAACAGACTTCCACAAGGGTGTTGATCAGGGGAGAACTGGTGGAATAAGCAAATAATTAACCAGGTACATCAACTGAAACAAGTACAAGCAATAAATTTAAAAGTATTAATACACAAATTAAGTAATTTTGATTCAGAATTAAGATGAAACCAACAATTTACACCTCAGTCTCTTCCATCTAAGTTCTCTGCAGGTTTAGCAATGATTCCTCAGATTCACAGGTCTCTTTCCATGCACAAGGGATAGAAACTTAAGTAATTAAACTAAAACTGAGGCTGTGAAACAAGCCGACTGCTTTGTTGACTGTGAGCGTGAAGTCAAAGGTTAATTTTATAACAGAGCAAAACAGCAAGAAGCCAGCTATCCTCAGAGACAGGCATACTCTGGACATCCTGTTGTAAAATGTCTTAAAAGAATAATTCCACTCAGGGTTGGATTTTATAAAATGGGACTAATTAACAAATACAAATAAAAGCACTAGAACAAACGTACATAAAAGTATACAATTTTTTGGGGGAAAAAATCTGTTTCTATTCACTGAGTAATATTTCAAAAGCTGAGTCATTATGGCAGGTCGGGCTACAAGTAGTCTTTCCATTTTTAAGGGAAATGGGGAGAGAAAAATCACAGCCAAGTCCACATCCACATCAACAAACTGCTCCATTGCATCAATCCGGTTTTGAAATCACTTTAGTAATCAGTACAAACCTGGATGTGAATATTTGTCAGAAAAACTTATTTTAAATAACCTTGAACTGATTATTAATGGAATATAAAGAATGTATATTACAGGTAGCAGTGATTTGACTGACGTGGTTTACTATTATCCC